CTGGTGGATGGAGTTTTCGGGTCTGATCTTCCCACAGTGAAGTGTCACCTGGAGGAATAACATGGTCGATGGCCCCATCAGAACCTTCAGGACCAGCTCCACTAGCCAGATGTTTTACCATCTGCCTGCCAGAGCCACAGAACTGTGGCAAAGGAATTTCACTGGGAACACTGTTCTCCCTATAGCAGATGGTCTAGGATAAATGCCCTCCTATACTGCTTTCTAAAAAAAATTATAGAGGGAACCAGCAGTTAACGTAATGGCTATGTCGCTGGACTCCCACGTTGTCGACCACGGTTCGCGTCCCAGACCTGGTGGCTTAAAACTCTCGCCAGCCACATGTGTGTGCGTGCCCAAGATCCCAAGAGGAGAATGGAGGAGAAGGGATTGCGGCATGGCCATCCGCCCCTGGGGGTGATTTCTCGCTTTCTGTCTCTATGTCTCTGGCTGGTTGGCTGGCAAGCGCACGCGCCCTATAGCGAAAACCTCTCCAAAAAAAAAAAATTATAGAAAAACATTATGTTCTACCCAGAATCACTATTTTGTCAAGATTGGGTATATTCATAGCTTGAATTCCTTACGCTCCTTTTCTAAAAGAAACATCCCACGTCAGTGGCACCAGGGTCAGAGGGAGCTCCAGTCTCCCATTTGGACCTTAACTGCCATCTTTATCCCTGATCAGTTATTTCCTATCAGAAGTTTTATCAGTTATGGATTTGTATTATTATTCTTTAGGGACTCTTGAGATGATCAAACAACTTTCATTTTACATTTATTAGCTGAACAGCTTTGAAGAAAGCTGAGTCAATTATTGGGCTAGCTGGTGATGTAATGGTGAAGGCAGCTGGATCCCACATGACCAACTGAGCAGTTCAAGTCCCAGACCAGGAATGTGTGCGTGCCCCAAATCTTAAAATGAGGGTGAACCGGATAGGGAACTGTGACTAACCATTCCGCATAGAGGCGCTTTCTCTCTCTCTCTCTCTGTCTCTCCTTGTCTCCCCCAGTGAGCATATGTGAGCATATGTGCCTCCAGCAAACTGAAAGTAAAATATCCTTTGCTCCTCAGCTTCCTCATCCTCCCTGCAAAATGGGAATATCAGTCATCGTTAGAGAGCTGTTACAATAGTTAGATGACATGCAATATACATAAAGCACCTAGAACCCCACCTGGCACATAGCGAGAACTCCGCATCGTTTCTTTCATAGTTATTATAATTCGTATGATTTCTGAAATTCTTTTTTTAGAGGTTTTTGCTAAAGGGTGCCTGTGCCCGCCAGAAAGAGAGAGAGAGAGAGAGACAAAGTGAGAAATCACCCCACCCCAGGGGGATGGTCAAACCACAATCCCTTCTCCTTCATTCTCCTTTTGGGATCTTGGGCACACACGCACACACACCCGACACGAGTTTAAGCCACCAGGTCCAGGACTCGAACCACGGTCAACTACATGGAGTCCAGCGACATAGCCATTATGCCAACTGCTGGTCCCTGATTTCTTAAATTCTAATCACCAAAAATAAAGTTACATTTGCACATTCTCCTGTCTTCTCTTACCCCCTAATTCTCCATTTCATTTTTCTGTATTGCAGTTTTTAAACTACTGGGATCTGTAAAATTTATTCTCACTAGGCTTTCCATAGTCATCTACTCGCCGTTGTCTATTTTAAAGGGTGAAATAAATGCTTACTCCCCATCTGCCCCTTCCACAGTGACTTCTTTCTTCTCCTGACTCCCTAATTTTCCATGGGAAATTTTTGTCAAGAATGGTTCATGAAGCCCAGTTTGCAGGTGCTGGGAGGCTGGAAGCCATATGGGAGGCACAGGTCTGGAACCCAGGCCAACCCCAACACTCTGGGTGGTTTGTATGCACTGGTAATCCTAGCTAATTTGGAGGCTGGATCAGAAGTATCAAGACACAGTGAGACCCTATCAAAAACCCTATCTCTTAGGGCTGGCAGGTGGCATAGGCGGTGAAGGCCCTGGGCTCCCACATGGCCGACCATGGCTCAAGTCCTGGACCTGGCAGCTTGCTTTCTTACTTTCCTCTCTGTCTCTCTGGTCAAATTTTAAAAATTAATGATGACGAATAAAATTTAAAATTCTTTTTAAAAATTCTCTGTCTTTTCCCACTTCTTCTCTCCCTAAGAATAAATTAAAAGAAGGGTTCACGGGTGCTCCACTGCTTGAATCCCTTCCAGTTTTAGAATGTCCACCCTTGTACTTGAATGAGGTAGCAGTTTATCATTTTCTTGGATCTGGAGGGGGTCTATACGCTCTCCTCAGAGTTCCTTATAGACACTGTTCCACTGTCTTTTTCCAGTAAATACCATAGCGGAGTTTGGAATGGCATCATTTCTTCCCCTGGTAGCTTACTTGTTCTGTTGCCTTCATTCTGTTGCTGTGACTTTGACGTTGATCATCATTTATCTTTCCCACGATTCTACTTTCCAGTTTCAGTGACCCAGGGTCCACTGTGATCTAAAAATATTAAATTTAAAAATCTAGAAATAAACAGTTCATAAGTTTTTAAAATGTATGCCGTTCGGAGTAGCCTACTTGAAGTTTTTGCTATAGGGCACAGGTGCTCACCAGAGAGACAGTGACAAAGAGAGTGAGAAAAGAAGCCACTCCCCAGGGGAGATGGCCATATTGCAATACCTTCTTCTCACCGCCTCTCGGGATTTTGGGCATGCACACACACATGCTTAGCGAGATTTTCAAGTTGCGAGCTCTGGGCCTGAACCCGCAGAACCAGCCGCAATGAATAGAGCCTCCTGAACCTCCACGCCACCTGCTGACCCCCGGAGTGGCCTAAGTGTCCAGTCGTGTGCCCTCCTGTGGTAGTGTTGCAGTACTTGGGTTTGATAACCCTTATTTAACATCACTCCTCTTCTCCTTTGGAGCCTTTCTTAGATAAGGGCTAGTCAAACCCAAGCACGGCAGCGCTGCCAGCAGGACGGCACGCAATTGAAAACTTACGTTACTCAGGGGCCAGCAGGTGGTGTACTTACTTTGCTCAGGGGCCAGCAGGTGGTGTGGAGGTTCAGGAGGCTGGATCCCACATGGCCAATTCCATGGTTCCAGCCCCGGACCCGGCAGCTTGAAAACCAGTTTCCAACAGCCTATTTTAATATTAGTTATTGCTGTTCATCTTAATGTGCCCCCCTCGTAGTTAAACGTGACCATGGCATGTGTACACAGGACAAACACAGCACGTAAAGGGTCTGGCACTGGTTGCCGTTTCAGGCATTCATAAGGGGTTGGGGGAGTACCCAAACCCCTAAGAAAAGAGGGGACTACATCATTCTTTTGGGGGTTTCTCTGGGGCCTGCTTGTTTTGCCCTGTGAGTTTACGCTCCCCTGGGGTAGGGTAATACATTCTGAGAAAGGCTGAAGGACAGGCCCTCGTTGACGTCTCTCCGGAGAGACTTAAACAAAGGGAAGGGAGACCAGCAGATGGCATAAGGGTTACGTCACTGGACTCCCATGCCGTCGACTGTGGTTTGAGTCCTGGACTTGGCGGCTTAAAACTCACCCCAGGTGCATGTGCATGTGTGTCCAAAGTCCCAAGAGGAGAATGGAGGAGAAGGGACTGCAATGTGGCCGTTGCCCCTAGGGGGTGATTTCTCACTTTCTGTCTCTCTGCCTCTGACAAGCACACGCACCCTATAGCAAAAATCTCTCTTTAAAAGAAAAAAATAATTAAAAATTTTAAAAAGGGAAGAAAGGGAGTCCTAGGACAGAGGATCGTAATGGATGACTCCCACTTGACTTAAATTCCTTCTTCCGTTCACCTTTCCTATAGAACTGTATCGTGTTACATTTGAAATTCTCCCATTCAGTACCCTAATGTATTTCTCTGTCAAAAATATTTCATTTTAAATCTTGCCTCACGTGCTATGTGACCATAAAGCTCTAAGTGTCAAAGACACTTCTTCTGGACTGTGTGGTTATGACAAGTGTTTTTAGTACGTAAGTGATAAAAATCAACATCGAATAAACTGTAAACATAAAAAGTAAATTTTATGGCAAACCTTATTTCCTAATCCCATGAACAGGGCAAGGTGTTCACCCCAGTACACACATGTATGGATAAATAATTATGAGGTTATCGGAACAAAACAGGAGTCACTAACAATGCTTATTATTATTTTTTTAAAGGTTGGAAGAACCTTGTTTCCATTTAAAAAATTAAATTAAATTAAGGGTGCCGTGAAACATTTTAGTAGAATAAAGCCTCAATTCTTTCAACTCTGTCTTGGTGCTGGATAAACACTAAATTTGGACTGGTGGTTCCTGCAGAGGGTAAGGAAGAAAAGGGGCCGGGGGAGCTTCCAGGGAGTACGGGTCCTGTCCGTCTGTCTCAGCAGGTGGTGGGGACACATGGACTTGTATCATTTTTCCTCTATCCTAGATGTGTTTCATAAATAATCTTTTAGACATACTAGCACTTATTTCAGAAGGAAAAAAAAAAAAGAGGGAAGAGAGAACATCAAAAGCATACAAAAGGTCTGCAGCTCCTGATCCTTCACCTCCGTAAGCTAGGCTAGGGGCCGCCCCCTCCCCACACACGAGCGCCTGCTAGACTGCCAGGATTGCACATTTCTTTACCGGTTTGCTTCCCCCAAGGCCGACTGCACGGACACCGGACCGTGCAGCCATTTATCAGTGGGCAGAGGGCAGGTGAGACACTGCCATCTTGAACAGAGTGGCTGGGGAGACGTCACTTGATGACGCAACATCTGGGGAGAGAGAAGACGGAGCAGGTCACACCAGGGAGAGGGCGCTAAGGCCCGGCCGGCGTTGACAGCAGCAGCAAGCAGACTTCCTACTCCTCGGCTCGCTCTCGCCGCACCCTCTGCGCGTCTCTGCCCTTGGCAACCCCCTTCCCGACGTCTCTAGGCCACCATGCGCCCGTTGCCCTTTAAACATCCACATGCCCGTGCTCCCCGCCGAGCAGTGGGCTCCTCTAGAGCAAGGAAATGAAAACGCAAGTCTCCAGGGTGCTCACACGGATTTTATTAGCCAGAGCCCCCCTCGCTGGAGGCACGCAGCTGCCCAAGGGCACGCCGTCACCATGCTGGTCCTGCATGGCCGATGCTGTCAGTGTGGAGGACGAGTGGATCTGCAAAGCCACGCAGTGCTCCTCAGGCAGACGGCGCCCCAGGGGAAAGGCCAGAATCAAGTGATCCGGGCACCAGGGAGCAAACCAGGGCCCAGAGCTGCCCGGAGGCCTGGGCCTCGGGGTCCTACCAATGGCTTTACACCTG